TGTTGAGCCATCCGCAATTATTTACATTTGCAGAAATACAATTCATGTTTTCCGGTAAAAAAGATCGTGATATCAGATACGTAGTAGGTGTAGGGGGACTAATAACATGCAAACTCTGCAGTTTTCTTTTGACGAACATTTTTTTGTTTTTCAGTGTGTGTCTGTTGTTTTTGCTAAAGTTTCTCTCACAAAAACAATAGACAAAGGCGAATGACTCAAACTTTCTACTTGTGACGTGGTCACAAGTAGAAAGACTATGGCTTGATAATAATGGCTGCTTAGAGATGAAGAAAAGCTTGTGGGAAAAACACTTCCATCAAAATCTCAGCGCAGCTCAATGATGCTGAATGATCCCTCTCAAGCTTGACTGGATGAAGTCAAAACGTCTTGGTCGCAAACATCAATCCTGTTTGTGGCTGCTATGCTGCAGGATGTTTTCTTGCTCTGCTATTCAACAAAGCCCCTCGCAGTGAATGCTTGGAAAAGGCCAAGCTGTTGTTCTGCAGCTCGGGGCGGAACATCTGTCTTCCGCAAGCACACGCATATTTGGCAGGGATGTGTGCAATCTATCTCCATCAATGGTGCACATTAGCCAATTGTTGGACTCCCTAATCAACCAAATGCAGTATTTCAAACCACAAATATGTCCATGAAAGCACGGTCCTGGCAGAGAACTTTTCTCGTCATGAAAGCACGTCAAATACGGGGACATTGATGCGTCTTCGTGGCTCAATTGCAAATATCATGACATTGTCCATTTGCTGCTTGGACAACGATGAAAAAAAAGTGACGCATGATCCTGCTTGTAAGCGCTCTCGATATGGGTCAGCTGAAACCTGGCTGCAGGCCCTCACTTGAACTCGTCTCGAGACGAGCTGGTGGTCATGTTCCAGATGTGTGAGGCTGGAGCTCATCTTTGCAGAGGAATTGGCCATCGCACTAGCTCAGCGGGCGAGAACCATCAAACCGAATGTGTTAACATGATTTTTTTTCATGACTTGGACCAGACAATAAAGGCCGAAGTTTTCTTGGTTGGAATCCGCATGTTGCAGTGTGGCCAGTTTCACATTTTGTACAGTATATCAAAAAAGTGTTGCATTAAAATGACTCAAAACATTTAATACAGCGGGTTTTTTTGAATGTTATTGACAGATAGTTTATTTACATCCTTCAAAATCATGAATATATTCAATGCTTAGTAATGTCACAAATGCTTATGGGCACTTAAAGTGGACAAGTGGATGTTTTGATGGACTCACTTTACAGATGGGAACGCATCCAGGACCAACTTTACTGCACTGTCCTTTCCAGCTCTGTTTTTCACAAAGGTGAGTGAGCCAGCGTACAACTTTGGGGACTTGAATGACATGACAAGCAGGACAAACAAATGGGAGTATAATTTTATGAGTAAATTACTCAGAGTATAGGTAAGTCGATTTTTTTTTTGAAAACATGATCAAAATGAGTTCTCACATGTAATGTTGCTCTACTGTTCAGCGGTTTTGTGCCATCTTTGAAGAAGAATTTTTATGCCAGAGAATCCTTTGCACGGGGTGGGGTGGAGGGAATTTTTAGTTCGGCAATGTTTTTTTTTTTTCAATATGCATTTGAAAATGCAAACAATTAAGATCACCTTCTGTGCATAGCTTTGATTTAAAAAAAAATAGACACACAGTCTGCACATATAGTATCTTGTCCTTGTCATCTTGTTAGGAAGACGTGCCATCCTCTGTCCCCACCCCCCAGGTAACGCTGATGAAATAGCTGATTATGGCATTGTTTAAATTGCTTATTTCTGGCATACACCGGTTATGTCACAGGCCGGCCCTGCTCCTCCCCATTTCGTAGGATCCCACCTCCTGTCATGATAGCTGTGCAAGTCCCACTTCAACTGTTAACATTCTGTTAACATACCTTATCTGTGCAAGAACCCTGGAGAATTACCCAAACGTAGTACGAATGATATAACACTCAATATCTACTGTAACGCTTCCATTGAAGATTAAACCTGAATTTCTGTTCAATTTTGTCCCCACTCGATAGAACCAAAGCTGTATTTTCCAGTTAAGATAACAGAACAAAGCAGCATTGTGTTTATTTCCCCTTCCACGCTATTCCCATCACCAAAACAACAAGATAAAAGGGAAATATCGTCAAGCACAATACGGTCATAGAGACCACTTAATGGACGTCACGGTTGCTGCTGAAGCAAAGGCTCTGCAGATTTGGATGGCTGCTCTTATGACAATGATAGATGGTGCTTCCTGCAGCCTTGCAGGGTCCTGCTGTGCTGCCGGTGACACTTGGGAGTCACACTAAATGCCTGGGCCCATGTCAGGGACCTGCCATCAATGCCTGAGGGGAACGAGGGTGAGATTATCCAGTGACACATATCCCATCAAAAGTTTTACAGCATTGAGCAGCGGATTGTGACAACAGCAAGGGAGGGCATATGTCTACACCCTTTTAAGATCATCTAGTGGATGCATTGTAGATTGCGTTTTATAATCCGGTGTGTCCAATATATTAAAAAAAATTACAAAATAGGCCATTCAATGAAGGTGTGCCTCATCATCCAGTGCGCCTTTTAGTGCGGAAAATACGGATATACTTTTTGTGTTAATGCACACTGAACCCAAATCATCCTATCAGTCTCACTATCACAAAATATATTTAAAAAACAAAATAAAATCAAGCAGGTCACGTTATCGTACGGTGGCGCGTGAACTGCGTCACCGGAAGTTGTTAGCGCTCAGCAGTCTGCAGTGGCAGCTTGAGATCAGAGCTGTTGCGATGTAGCCTTTATTATTATTATTATTATTATTATTATTATTATTATTATTATTATTATTATCAAGCAAAGTGCATTTTGTGTGCAATTTACCGATGGCACTCGCACCCCTGCTATAAACTACTGCATATCTTTAAATAATGCTGTTTCTTCCTGGGGTCTATTATAGGACTACCAATTACTGAATACTACAACAAAACTTTTGTTGATGTTGTTTTAAATAGTTGATTTCTTTTTTCCTCATTGTATACATTTCTCAGACACAATTGCATGTTGAGTAACGCGAAGCTGTACTGGAAAGAGGAATCTTCTGAGGAGGGGAATTCTTGCGGGATAATAGGGTGAAGATATTCCAGGTGACCATCTTTAGAAAGCATTTCATGATGTTGACAAATATGGTGACCATAATGAATTTGTCAATACAGGTGAGATCAATGACTCCAAAAGAAGCGACTGCGCCATTACCCTCAAATTGTCCTTTTAATTGTCGATTCAGCCATGTCCCTTCCTTGCAAATGCTGAGATATAGTTGTATTTTCAGCAATATTTTACAATCTATGATGACATTTCAGTTTTGAGGGTAAAGGTGCTCGGAACCCTTTTTTTTAATTTATTTTTTTTATTCCAGTTGTAGGGTGAAATCGTATATTTTTAAAAAAAGTGTTCAATAGTAGGGCACAGAGTTATGAATTATGTATGAGTTAAAAACAATGTTGCTGTCAACAATCACAAAAAAAAAAAAAAGAGAGTGAGAGACAGCAGCGGTGGTCTGTCACCTCCTAAAATTCATCACGAACCAAAACCGGGAGTTTTTATTGAAAATTCAGATTGTTTTATTCACACAGCTGCATCTTACAAATACATTTGATACATTTTAAGCACCCTATCATAAAATATCTTTCCAAAAATGTCTGAAAATCATCCTCTCCTAAACCAGAGTTGGCTTTAAAATAAGATCCCCTGTCGACTCCTGACAGCGTACAAGGATCTGACCGTGTTGCAACTGCTCTGTAAAAAGTGTTGTGTGTTGCAGGTTGTGCATCAAAACACATAACAAGTCATATTTGGAGGTGGGTGCATATTTATTGTCAGTGCTGTGTGGTGAGGTAAAGCAGGTCTTGACGGGATCCCTTCCGCTTCTTTTTCATGGACACAAGGTACATTGGCGCAATGGGTGCCAGTAGTTCAAAAAGAATTCCGGGTGGGGTTAATTTCTCTATTCTGTTTATGAGTAACTATTATGACTAAGATTATGGTAATTATGACTAATTATTTTTTATTAAGATAATTTTTCCCCCCCAGTGCTTAGACTTCAGTTTTATTTTTCCAAATAACCTCCTAGGATTTCAAGCACCACAAGGGGTACATCTAAACATGGGTTATATGTCTCTTAAGGGATTACAATTAGTCAAATAATTACAAATTACCCTTTCGTATGCTGAGGAGGGGCGGCCCGGTGGTCCAATGCTTAGCCCGTCGACCTCACAGTGCAGAAGTCGCGGATTCAATCCCGGCTCTGACCTTCCTGTGTGGAGTTTGCATGTTCTCCTACGTGGGTTTTCTCCGGGTACTCCGGTTTCCTCCCACATTTCAAAAACATGCATGGCAGGTTTATTGAACACTCTAAATTGCCCCGAGGTGTGAGTGTGAGTGTGGATGGTTGTTCGTCTCTGTATGTCCTGCGATTGGCTGGCAACCAGTTCAGGGTGTCCCTCGCCTACTGCCCCAACATAGCTGGGGCAGGTTGCAGCACGCCTGCGACCCTTGTGAGGATAAAGCGGATCGGAAAATGGATGGATGGATATACTGAGGAGGCCGCAAGCCTGCCACAGTCTCGGACATACACACACCTGCCTAATCCCATGTCATGAAGGTGATCATCAATTACAAATGTTTTATTCAATTTAAATTTATTCTAATTATAATGATGAACAAGTATGACAATTGTAGTTTCTGCTGAATATCGCCGCATTTTGAAATGAAACTACTTTATTTTCCTGAGCAGGGAGAAAAAAATGAATCGAATAAATGTGGTTACAACTTTACCCTCACTTCACAAAGGAGTGGGGAGGAAAACTTGTGAAATATACCCATAGTCGCACAGTATCACATTTCCTAGTAGAGGCATGTCATGTCTATTTTCATGTTCTTTGGTTCGCCTTCTATTTCAGTCAATTGCCGTGGCAACACACCTGTCACACCTGTTGCAATCAGCTGCTGTTTGGAGGCCGCTGCAGAAGTGTGCTGGTGCCACAGAATTGTGTTGCCTGAGTGTTTCACTTTGCCCCTTTCTCTCGATACTGAATTGATCAGAGTGTCCAGTGCCTACAGTTTCTGTCCTCAGTGTTTTTTTCCCTGCGACCGTAAGTACATTTGATTCCATGAAGAAGAAGGTTACAACACTGTTTTGTTGTTCGTGGTTGCTACCTCGGCACTGTTGATTTCTTTTGTTTCTAGCGCCTTGTGTTTCTTTGTTTCACTGTTTTATGATCTGACAGAGCTTTGGCTTACTCTTGATAGCTGTAATCATGTTTCTAATCTGTACCTCAAAAGTTAATCAGAAATCTAGCACTACACTAATACTTCTGGAAATGAAATTATTCTTAGTTCCAATTTTCCAGTACTCTATTCTAAAAGACAACAGCTTTGGATGGCTTCCCCAAACCTCTCGCATAATTCAGCGTTCTGGGAAGATATTTGCTTGTTATTGTTAATTGATCTCTCTGAGGAATTTACTGCAGCCAATTATTACATCTTGTGAGACACATTTATATTTGCAAAAGGTCACATTGCTCCAATTCTTGCACTTAGTAATCAAGCGGTTACAGTCTACCAACAATGATTAATCAATTGAAGCACTTCAAAGTGAAATCAATACCGATCTTGTAGTTTTGACCACGTTCAAATGTAGGTCATCCGATAGGTGATTGTGAGACAGAAAGCTTTTTTTTATTTTATATATATATTAATTTGGGTGTGTGCATTCTTCAACTCAAAATTCAACCTTGTTTCACAGATCATATTCCAATTAGGTAAAAAAACTAAAGCAAAAAAAGTCAATGATTTCTGAACCCAACCTTTACCCGTTTACATTTATTCCTTTTGTTAGAAAACGGGGTCGCTGATTGTGTCGTGGTACCCTCGCCTGACTTGTTTGCGGGCAGCGTGGGATCGGTTCCCACTCGGTGATGATGTGGATGTGAATGTTTGTTTGCCTCTATATGTGCTGGTGACCACTTCAGGGTGTAGTCTGCCTTCCGCCCGAAGTCAGCTGGGATAGGCTCCAGCAACTCCCCGCAACCTTGACATATTCCACCTTATTGTCTTCATTGGGTTGAGTAAATAATGGCACTGCAGGAAATGATTCAGTTTTGTTCCTGGAGTAGCAGTTTTATATGATTTTCATAATTTTCGCACATGATTCTGATTGAATATATTCAGCTGACTTTCACTTTTTTGTGATGATTGGTCTGTAATAGACCTGACGGGCAGAATGCTGTCCCTGCCCTGTTTCTATCTGCTGCTTTTGTGAACAAAACAATACCTTGTATCAGATGGAGCACGAGGTAACTGGTATCCAGAGGTTTCACCGTCTTTTGAGCCAAGGTACATATATTACGTAAGAAAAAAACAAATCTCACAACGCACCTCCAAACAAAATCATGATTAAAAAGTATCTTAATCTCCTTTCACAATTTAACTGGCGAGTAGAATTAATGGTGACTGCGCTCTTTGTTGTTCATGAGTGGCCGCAAGTGCAGCCAACGACTGCAGCTCAAAATGACAAATGTTTTAAGCAGTACGCAGGCTGTGTAAGCAGAGTGAGTGGGAGAAAATTGTCTTTGCATTTCATAAACCAAGTACTCATTGTCACTGTCATTAGTGTAGTGGGTGAAAAAGGTTTCAACAAACCCCGATAGGTGAACTGATGTGAGAGCCATCAAGCAGCCATTAGAGCTTGGCCCTATAAAAGCAAAATAAGTATTGTAACATTGTTAAAGGGGACGGGAATAACATTTTCACTCCATTAATCAGCTCTGTCATTACAGCCGCTTCACATCAGGTAACCTTTCTGAGATGGACCTTGAATACCTGCAAGAGTTAGATACCTCAGTAATGGGAAAGCCTTCGCACATCAGAGAGCGCCTCCAGCTATTATGGCGTCTATTGTGCTGCACTGCCAATATCAAAAATTATTTTCAGCATTTGCAGAAATGCATTACAACTCCCCACAGGATCTTGATATCTGATGTGACTTAAACTGCATTCAAGACTGCTGGGAAATGTTGGAGCTCAACACGAAATGTTACAGTTCAATTTATGCCCCAAAACATGAATGAAAACTGTGGTAAACAGAGGCGGGAGAAAGTCACGTATGTGCAAATCACAAGCCAGTGTCGGGTCATAATCTTCAAGTCTGAAGTTACTGTGGAAAAAAAAATCAAGCATGTCGAGTCTCCACCAAATTTCCAGCAAGTAGAGTCAAGTCATTACGTGATTCAAGCAAGTCGTAAATCAAGTCATCCGATCTTGCTTAATCACAATACATTTTTTGTTATTAATTATCTTTTACTGATCATGTCTAAAGTAAATTTATGACTCTAAAAACACAAAGTAAATTCTCATCTCTTAGCGTTGTCACCAGACTTGGCCGAGCTGGCGTTTGAAAGTTTTCAAGTCGCTTACAGGAGAGTTGCACACGGCCTTTCCCCCGACCTCTTAATTTTTTTTTTTTTTTTTTATGTAGCACAAGGTAATTTGGAATAGATCTGCAAAATGTTTGGAATATTTATAAGGTTGCGGGGGACTTGAGTGTTCAAAGGTGCTGATGTTGGCATCAAGGCAGCATGTGATGACCCTTTTGAAAGCGGCTCCCATAAAAAACACAATTTGAAATGAATTAAGGTCAGTTATCGTGTTTTCCCCGTTTATATTCGACAAAATGTATCTTGCAGCCGTAGAAGTCAGAAAGACAAATCCTCATTTCAAAGAAGAAAATAACAATGACCAACAGTCCAAGTAAATAAACTACTCTGTGAGAACAAGAAAGGTGGAGACAGCCAGAGCTGAAGGAGATGAAACTATAAAACACACACAGATGTACAGCTGGAGGGTGCAAGTCAAACTGTGCACTAAAAATTAGCAACATAGCAACACTGGTGACGAGCCATGTAATAACGTGGCAACACTCTGCTTCTGCTGCATCTAAACATCCTGACAATGATCATTGACAGCAGGTGCGATGCAGTAGGCTCCATCCACCAACGCCTCACAATGATACTGTGCAAACTGGAAACATAATTAAAAATGGCAGAACAGGCAGACCGATAAACAGAAAAATGACATGATCACTGACATCCTAATGGTAGTTTGCCAGATAATACGCTGCATAGATTCACATTTGCAAACATGAGCTGTAATCTTCAACTCATTTCCATCCATCCATCCATTTTCGAATCCGCTTTATCGTCACAAGGGTCGTGGGTGTGCTGGAGCCTATCCCAGCTGTCTTCAGGCAGTAGGCGGGGTACACCCTGAACTGGTTGCCAGCCAATCGCAGGGAACACACACTGACAAACGACCATTGGCGCTCACAATCACACCTAGGGACAATTTAGTGTTCTATTAACCTGCCATGCATGTTTATGGAATGTGAGAGGAAACCGGAGTACGCAGAGAAAACACACGCAGGCACGGGGAGAGCAAGCATACTCCTGATTTCCTCTACAGCGTTTTAACATACCAAAAATGTCATATGTTCTTGTCTTAGTGCAAGTTTGAACTTGTTCATTGCAGGTGTAATCTGTCCCCATCATAAACTCTTTATGACCCGTGCCAGCAAATTTTAAGTCACATTTAACAGTCTTAAATTTCATCTAAATATAGACAAAAGTAACGGAGAGGGAAGGGGTTTGCCTCGTGACATTTTATAGACATACAGTAACTTGAATGTGTAGGTCGTCTCAAACTTTTAGTTTGCCTCAAAATTGCATGATTGGAACCTCCCACTTCGAAAGTTATCGTGCACATGTGTAACATAAAAACAAGTTTGCGGTTTTCATTTAGAAATTCTGAGGATTGTAGAATGTCTTACACAAGGAACATCTTTCATGCAACACATCCCAAATTTGCATTCTCAGGATATTTTTCGAATGCGGCCAATATATGGAGGAAAAAAGGAGATGGGATGTTTTTTTGTTTTTCAAAGGAAGGTCTGGACATGTTGCTGCCTTTGCATATAAAGTGTGGGTAAGTGGAAATTGGAAGAAATATTTGCATTTCCGGTGTGGTTGTCTGAATAGATTTTATTTTAAACTATCACGGCCGTTAAAGGACACGTTAAGCACTTTTTTTTTTTTAAACTGTGCTTTTGTCGAAATGCCCTAAAGATCAAGCATTACAGTACACTCAATACCCATCTCGTTTGGCCTCTCTGAACTTTGCATGTTTTAGGGGAGCGATCATGTGATCTGAGATTCACCCCACTACTAATAACTTGATGCTGCATGTACAATTGTACAGGACATGACAGTCAGATGTTCTATTGTGAGGAATAAATCTTACATAATGTTCTGCATTTGCCTGAACACAATGCATTGCCACTGTACAGTATTTATTTTTCCAAGGTTGCATCTGATGGCAGCAGATTGAAAAATGAGTCAACTAATTAAATCTCGGAATAGGTGTTCATATGGATATTACAGATTGCAAAATTTAACCGTTATCTGTGTGCCAGCATATCAACAAAAAATTTCGAAGCGAAAGTCAAAGTAAGCAAACCGTATTCTGTCCAGACACAAGACAACAATGTGAATATGATATCACATTGAGTGTCAGGGGAAATATAGCAAATAACCTTCAGAACACCGTATAGAAACAGGAAATTACCTTTAAAGAACCCATGTGCTGACTCAGGGAAGCTACAAGGCACTAAGGCTCCCATGGCTCACCAAGACACCATACAAGGTATCCAATCACCCACTGAAGACTGCAGGTAGTGGAACAACGCATCAACTTAGATGTGGCAGCACATTAATTTCTGACACATCACAGGCAGAACGCTATTTTGCTCACTTTACTTATCACTGTACACTCACAGTATCCCTAAATTATACAGTATGAAATACCATATTGACATAAAGTGGATGTGGGCGTTTAATTACTCAACTGCAGACAGCATCGGGTATAGGGGTGAGGTTGTTTATTATGGGTAGGCCTTTATTTTAACCAAACCATTGTAATAATAATGATCAGGCTACAAAGTAATATGTATAATCATTTCAGTTACTTGAAGGCTACAGTGTATATAAGGGGTGGAACTGTTCGGTAAAAAGTGAAATAATGAACACGCGAAGGATTCGCA